TTACCACTGTATTTTCTTCTAAGAGGTTTTTGGTTGTAGTTCTTATATTTAGGTCATTGATCCATTTTGACTTAATTTTCATATATGGGGTGAGGTAGGGGTCCGACTTCATTCTTTCGCATGTGGAGATCCAGTTGTCCTACCACCATTTGTTGAAGAGACTATTCTTTTCTTATTGAATGAACATGCTGCCCTTGTTGAAATCAGTTAGACGAAGACGTATCAGCGTTTTTAAAACAGGCAAAAGACAAGAAAGATGAAAGCGTATGTTCATTTTTCCCAACTATGGAGACTCTGTGTCTTCCATTGTTTTCTCACCCGTGCGCCATGCAGACTCATCTATCACTTTACAAACACAGACCCCCCCCCCCTTTTATCTGCTGTTTTGCAAGTTGTTTTCTTCTTGTTTTCTCCCAGCAAGATTCACCAAAGGAAATTTGACAAAACAAACCAAAAAAAAACCCAGAAAAATCCAAAGATGAAAAGAAAATTCATCCCAAATCCCACAAATCAGCACGGCCATACTGTCAACTTTCTAGAATACTTTTTACATCTTTTTTTCCCCTTTTGTGCATCAACACAATTTAAAAACTTACACTCAGGCTATGTATATTGCAGTGTGATAGATCGCCTCTGTGTGGCCTTTCTCTCCATGGTCTTCTAACTCCCAGCCACGTGATTGGGCCAGATTGTGCAGATACGGCAATTGTGGCCCAACAAAGGGATTGGTCAGCTTTTGCCAGCCTGCTGGTCTGGAGGTGAGCCATTCCAGAGGCAGGAAAGAGAAGATCCCACTACCACCACCAAGGAAGAACAGCCAGGAGCAGAGAGCGTGTCCTTTGAACCCGGGATCCCTGCACTGAAAAGCTCCTGGACCCAAGAGACAGAGAGACAGAGCTGTTAACACTGAAGACAGCAAGACCCGGGAGCAAAGACCTGGCAGCAGGAAATGGCACTGGGGGCTTCCTGGCCCACGAAGCGAGAAAGCTGAGTGCCTTTGGGCAGAGGCCCACAGCCACAAAGAGGTACACCTGTGAGCACAGCTGACAAGAGGCTGTCCTGATGGAAGAATTGTATCCTGAGTGCTCCTGAGCTTCAAATTGTAACTGTTACTTCCCTAATAAACCGCACAATCATGAGTATTGACTGTGAGTTCTTTGTGGCCATTGCAAAGAATTATGAAACCCAGCAGAGAAGTAGAGTATGCCGTGGGAGGGATGGTTAGTGTCAGAATTAGTAAAGATGGTGGAGAGAGGAGGCAAGTCTGACCCCTGCCTCATAGGAATCAGCCTTGGGCTGTTGATCTTGATTCTCCTTCCCCCTTGTGAAGTTAGAGAAGGTCAGACATTGCCCCCACGCCATTTTTACATATATGCTTGCCAATATTCTGCTTTTAAAATATAATATTTTGAGGTTTTTCTATAATAACTTTTTTCAGGGATTAAATTACTTTTTAGTTTCATTTTTATTTAAAGATGATTTTCTAAGATAAATTCTCGTGGTTCAAGGTATGACAAAAGGTAGAAAAAGGTAAAAGGTTGATGAGTGAAAAGTCTCCCTCCCAGCACTGTCCGTATCCACTCAGTGTTATCAGTTTCTTGCATGTCATTCTAGAGTCTACAGATTTCCAAACATATATATACAGTCCTTTCTTTCTTTCTCCTTTTTTACACCCTGTTCCGCACCTTGCTTCATATCCCTTTAAAGAAGACATCACAGAGATTGTTCTATGCCTGTATACTCTTCTTAATAAACTGCACTGATATCTCGTATAGTAATAACTCATAATTTCTTTAATGAGACCTCTTTTGAAGGACACTTATATGCTATTACATCTCCTACCAATGGGAAAATATTTTGCTATTACGTACGCTATGTATAACCTTGTACATATGTCATTTCTAGAGTGTATGAGTGTTTTTATCAGCAGGATAAATTCCTAAAACAGAATTTCTGGTTCCCATGTGATTCTGGTATTTCCAAACCATCTATGCAGAGGTTCACTAACTTACATTCCCAACACCAGTGAGAGAGAGCGGGTACTTGCCCACAACTTCATGGAACTAGCATGTTATCAAACTTCTGAATCTCTGCCAATCTGATGGATTAAAAAATAGTTCACTTCAGTGTTGTCTGAATTTGCATTTTTCTTAGATATGTGTGATACTGAGTATCTTACATGTTGAAGAGCCAATTGTTAGTGACAGTTTAGACATACCAAATTTAAGTTTTTGTTACAAAGTTTCTTCTGGTTATATTGAAAAAATCTAGTCAATGGGGATATACTTATAACATTTACTACTACTACTAAATAATTTAACTTTGAAAAATCCCTGAACTTTCATTTCTTATGAACATTACATCATCTGGTTATTTAAAGCCTTTTGCTTAATCCCAGATACAAACGACAATTCAACAAACTTCTATAAAAGGACAATCAAAATATCTAGCTTGACAAAGTGCTTGAATATTATAACCTGACACAATGCTTATAAATACCTCTGGAATTAAAAAATAAAGAAAAAGAAAGGCAGCCTGCTTCTAGGTCAGTATGGTATAAAAAAAGAATCCCGAGTCAGAGCTCTTGGGCCCAAGTCTAGGCTCAGGCACTTCATAAATATGTGACTTTGGACATATCATTAAGGAGTCCTGGTGGCACAGTTGTTAGTGCTCAGCCGCTAACTGAAAGGTCGGCGGTTTGAACCCAGCAGTTGCTCCACTAGAGAAGGATGTGGCAGTCTGCTTCCGTAAAGATTACAGCCTAGGAAGCCAAGGGGGAGTTCTGCTCTGTCCTACAGGGTCGCTATGAGTTGGAACTGACTCGATGGCAATGGATTTTGATTTTTTTTTTTGGTTGTGAGCTTCAGTTTCAAAGCTTATAAACTCCCTTGCATCTGCTTCATGTGAAAGGCTACTTGGAAAGAATCAATGAGAACCTGTGTGGGGAAACCCAAGCCCGCTGCCGCTGAGTCGATTTCAACTCACGAGGACCCTATAGGACAGAGCAGACCTGCCCCATATGGTTTCCAAGGAGTGCCTGGTGGATTTGAACCGCCGACGTTTTGGATAGCAGCTGTAGCTCTTAACCACTACACCACTAGGGTTTCCAACAGAGTTACCGGGCGCAGGTGCAGGATGGCGAGCCCGCAGCCCCTGTATGTATGAGAAAGCTCTTGCAAATTTTAAGCTACTTTTAATCCTTTACCTACGTCAGCTCTTTCAAAGGGTGATACCAGTCAAGGATGCCAACTACAAGCTAAAAAACTGAGACTGCCTGACTTAAATGCTGAAAAAGGAATTTACTGGAAGCACACTGGGTATACTACATGGCAGACTGTTTACAAAGAAGGCTGTGACAGTCTCTTCCATCCCTTGTAGGCATGCCTCTTTGCAATGTGACTTTCCCATTCCTCCCCTCAAAAAAAAAACAAAAACCAAACCCATTGCTGTCGAGTCAATTCCAACTCATTTCTCCACTTTCTAAGCTTGGCCGTGTGACTTGCTCTGGCCAATGAGACACTAGAAAACATGATACAAGCAAAAGTTTGAAAAGTGCTTGCGTGTCTGTGGCTTGCCTTCTTCTGCCTGCAGCTAGAAGCTGAAACACGGTGTAAACGAGCCCAAGCTAGCCTGCTGGAGTCACACGAAAGAGAACCTACAGCCTCAGCTGAAAGCCTTTCAACTGCCAGCCTGTCAGGGAGGCCACCTTAGACTATCCAGCCCTGGTCGAGGTTCCAGATGACTAGAGTCGTATGAACGACCCCAGGTGAGACCAGCAGAACTGTCCAGCTGAGCTCAGTCAAACTTGCTGACTCCCAGAATAAGACCAAATAAGATGGACATGATTTTAAGCCACTAAGTTTTGGAGTGATTGGTTACGTAGCAATAGATAACTGATACAGAGTAGCTCACGTAGTTACTAGGAAGCCTGGAAAACTAAGCCCAGAATATTGACAGAAACAGACAAGGCTAGAGAGCAACCAGGATCACAGCTGAAACCATGCCCGGGAATCAGTCCCTGAACTGCCACTGATTACTTGATGCCACAGCTTTCACAGGCCCCAGACATGGCAAACAGCCACCGCTGCAGTTTACCCTGAAAAACAGGCGTTGGTGTGGTCACTGCTGCCACCAGAGTGGATTCTTACACGTCCCTAACTTGTTTTTGTCACTGGATCCCAATTCAGTTTGTGGTACAGGAAACACTTAGTCAAGCTCAGGCCACAGGCATGCACCCAACCTGGAAGGGAAGCTTAGCGACAGAGTATCAGGCCGTTTCAGTCTCCCATCAAGACTTAGACGGCAGGGAATTCCTTCACTCAGAAACTAAGTTTATATGCTGTGCAGTCATGAAAAAGACAAATGTGCATTATAGCTCTTTAATTAATTCAATTCAAATTAAAGGACTGTAGGTAAATCAGTTATCTGGCAACAGATGTTCCATAAACCTTGCATTTAAAAACAAAAGCTTTAATCTGAAGTCTGTTAGATAGGCAAGCTCCTCACTGGGCATTAATGTAGGTATTTTGGGTTATTCATCTTAAACAGACAACTAAGAAAGCATTACTGAACTGGGGTGAAGTTTAATCATTTGCCAGAGGGATAATATTCACCTAACAGCAAGTATATGACATTTGCTTTTAAAATTCACCACCGCTTGGCCTTTGAAATGTACTTGAATCCAAAGGTCACTCTGAGTAAGGGACACATAAAAGCAAACCAACTATTTTAAGTGTCCTTGAAAATATTGCTTCACCCACATATAATTCAAAAAAGGACAGATTAAGAAAAGCAACATCCTTGAGTTAAGATCAAGGATGAAAGATTTTAGCACAGGCGTTAGTTGAGAAATCACCTTCAAATAAATCACTGCCCTGTCACGAATTCGAAGGCTGCGACCTTTCCTGACTCGAAAGCTCCAGAGGGGAAACAACTAGAAAGATGATCATGAACGAGGTGATGAGCACGTCACCCACACATGCCCGCCTTCCCCTCCTCACCTGGAGCTAGGCTAGAGGAGTGTTTGATGGCGATGGTCCCCGACAGCGTGGCAAGCACAGACAGCATCCCGAGTTTTAAGCTGTCGTAAGGAGTCTGAAGGGCACATTCGCAGAGTGCCTGAGATACAAAGGAGAAATGAACACAGAGGTTAAAACAATAACGTTTTTCTAAGTTGTCCATTCAGTTTAAATTTTCTAGGTTTTAGAAAAACATTATTATCCATGATAAAAACTAAGTCAAACTCCCACAGCCCAGAGAAGCCAAAGGAAACTTGATGACTGAACGTAACGTGGTGTCCGGGATGGGATCCTGGAAAGAAAAAAGGACCGCAGGTAAAAACCCAGAAACCTGAACAGAGTATGGGCTTTAGTTAATAAAAATGTATCAATACTGGTTCATCAACTGTAACAAATGTATCATACTAACACAAGATGTCAATAATAAAGGAATATGGGTATGGGGCATATGGGAACCCTCTCTACTATCTTCTTAATTTATTAATTTTTCTGTAAATCTAAAACTGTTCTAAAAAACAGTCTATTGAAAAAAACTCACGTCATCACGTGAAAACGTCTTATTACGACCACTATGGATCACGTACTGTTTTGTCCTCACAATCAGAACCTCTACTGTACTTCTGCTTCGAGTCACAAATACTAGTTTATATACATGCATTTAAAGAGACTAACCAGGGTGTGGCCCTTCTATCCAGCTGTTAAGACAGTAAGCTATCCTCCTCCCACTCCTGCTCACTCTACTCCTAAGGCGTCCAAGCTATTACCAAAGACGAGATGCTAGCGTTTCTTTCAGTGCAGTGAACTATGAATGTACGTACACCCTCACAATATGGTGACTCCTACTTCATCCTTGGGACTCTGTCCCATTACTCATGTAATATAAACAGTCAAATAACTGCCTTGTTCAACTAATTTCCATTCTCCCACAAGAAAAAGGTTCAGAAAATGCGGAAAACTCGAAGTCTGGGAGTAGCAAATCTCAGAAACAGTTAAACAATAAATTTAATATGGTCCCAATAAAAATATCAACAAGATTTTTTTTGGTGGGGGATTTAAAATAATCTGATTCTAAGGATCATATGGAAAATTAAAACTCAGAAAATTTCTGACAAAGTGTGAGACAAAATAAGCCTACTCAACATTAAAATGTGTAATAAGCCTACAGAAATCAAAACAGATTTTTACTTGACCATGAATAGCAAAATCAATAAAGCAGAACTAAGCCCAAAAATAGATGCAAATACATACTAGAATTCAGCATATGATAATAGCGGAAATTTCAAACCAGAGAGCTCATCCAATAAATGGATCTAGGACAACCGGCCAGGTATCTGGATAAAATAAAATCAGATCTGTTTCTTTTTTTTGATCCAAAAAAAACCTAAGAAGTGCTAAGAGTTAACATGGGAAAACAAAGATAACTGGCAAACTGGGAAGTAATATTCACATCACACAGGATTAATAAGGGCCAATAACTTTAACATATAAAAAAGCTTTCACTAATAAGTCGGCAAATAACCCAACAGAAAAACTAGCAGTTTACAGAAATAGTATACACAAATGCCTTTTAACGCTTTAATGGATGAATTTTTCCTTTTTTTGAATTTTTGGTGATGCCCTGTTTTTTTAATGGGTGAATTTTCTCTCTTTTTTGAATTTTTGGTGACGCCCTGTTTTTTACTAACGGAATGAATGCTGAAATCACTGTTTGTTGCAGTTTTTTATTGTTTGAAAAAACCGGGGTGCCAATGTCAAGTAGGACATATCTGTCCCATATTCCTTGAAGTACATCACACACGCGTAACGTATCAGTCCCATGGCCCAGAAAGTGCATCATGAACTGTTTTCAGAGAGGTGAGCACTTTATCAGACATCATCAGGGAGGTGACTATGGCCAAGTGGTCCATATCGGCCACGTTCCATGAAGCACATCACACACGTGGTACCTTGGTCCCATGGCCCTGAAGTGCATCACAAACAGTCTGCACCTCAAAAATAACTCATTTGCTTGAATATTTCGGAACGCCAGTAACCATACCTTCCCAAAGGAAACAGTGAACAGATTTGCAAGCCTTATCTCGCTGTACAGAAGCCAAAAGACACCAAAGTTTCACACCATCACCCCTCCGGGAAGCATCACTTCAGACCAAGGGCTCTCAGCACTCGACTGTGGTGCAGACCAGCTTCCTTGTCCTTCAGGCAGTGGCACCAGTGTCCGCCCCGACACCAGGACGTACCTGCCAATAAACCTCCAGGGCTGGAAAGTATTAACTGGGACATACATATTCCACGGTCCATGAAAAGGTTAAATATATTTAACCTCACTCATAATTGTAAAATTTTGAATTAAAACAAGAGTCACTTTTCACCTCTCATACTGGCCAAGATAAGGTGTGATAATACTTAATACTGAGAGAGTGTGGGAAATAGGCACTCTCACATACCGTTGATGGGAGGGCAAACAGTGTAAACCTCTTTGGTGGGTAATTCCGCATTAACTATAAAAATTTAAAATGCACCGATCATTTCACCCAGCAATTCCTCTTCTAGAAATTTATGTTCACAAAGATGATTCTTACAAACTAGTCATTGCAGAAATGTCAACAGTAAAAGTATTGGAAACAACCCTAATGTCCACCAACAGGGGACTGGGAATATGAAGAAGGCAGTGGATCCACCTGCCAATGTGCAATGCTCCTCGAGATGTACTGTTAAGGGATAAAAGGTTCAGAATATGCATGTTTTCATTTGTGCAGACAAAAAAGGACACACACACATGCTTGCACGTGGACAGAGTAATTCAGCAAGGACATGTAAGACACCAGCATCAGACAGCATCCCTACAAAGCAGGCTTGAGGAAAGAGGTAGGAAACAAAAACGTATTTCACTCACTGTATATATTTAAACAACGAATTCTCATGTGAAAGTATTACTTTTTCAATTGAAAGAAAAACCTACTAACAACAAAAATGACAGCAGCAGTAACAATGGTCATGGATGAAACAGAAATGGACCTGAAACATGGAGGAGGTTTCTGGTAGTCGGAGGATAGACAGTCCAGGTAATGCAAACAGAAACTCCAGCAAGGAGGCGGGAATACGGAGTGATTAAGGAGGTCTGCCCAAAAGGGATGGAAGCTAAGAGAGGTAAGTGCTGAATAAGAAGGATTAGGTCAGGTTATAGAGAGTCCTGAAAGTGAAGCAGAGGAATTTAAACTCGATGAATACAGCAAGCCGCTGGAGAGGAACAATGGCATCTAACTGTTAGGGAAGATTATTCTGGCAACAGTACCAAAACAAAAACCAAACCCACTGTCACTGAGTCGATTCCGACTCATAGGAACCCTACAGGACAGAGTAGAACTGTGTCATAGGGTTTCCAAGGAGCAACTGGTGGATTCCAGCTGCCGACCTTTTGGTAAACAGACGAAATCTTAAACACTGTGCCACCAGGGCTCCTGCAGACAGAACAAATTAACAAAGGGAGTCGAGAGTCAAGGAGACCAACCAGAGCCTATGGCAGTAATCCTGGTAGGTGGTGATGAACGGCCTAGACTAGAGTTGATGGTAGAACAGAAAGCAGAGGCTGAGTGTGTGGGATGTTTTGAAAGAGATCAATATACAAGGAAACGAACAAGGACTCAGTGATTATTACAAAATTTCAAGCCTGGTGATCAGAGAATAATGATGATTTCACTTACAAAGACTGAGAATTTATGAAGACAAGCTGATTTTAGAGAAAGGACAGAAAACAGGAGGCCATATAAAGTCCAAGAAGAAACACCTACCAGCCATTTGGAATCCAAGAGGTAGTACATTTTTAACTGCAAGACTCATGTTAAATTCTGGCTCTGCCACTTACCAACTCCGTGACCTGAGCCATTTACTGAAATCTTTTGAGTCTCAGTTTCTTCATCTGCAAAATGAGGGTAAGTATACAAAGTTGCTGGTTTTCACATAAAACACCTTTCGAGGAATATATAAGAAATGAAACACTGGTTGCAACTGGACAAAGGAGCTGGGTGGAGGGGAAAGAGTAGTTGGGAGAGGTTCCACTATACTGCACACCCTTCTGTAGCTTTGGAAGTTTGACCATGTTAATGCATATTACATTAAAAAATCAAAGTCAAATTAAAAACAAAATGTAAGGGGGGGCATGTGTTGTCTGTAAGATTAAATAGCTACTTTCATGAAAGTCAAAGCACTCGCAACCCATACAAGCTAGTACGCTAGAGAGCAGTGCAGAAGGACTGCACCGCTGGAGGCTGCACACG